GGATGTACACATCCTGGACAGGGAGGAACGCTGGTTTGAGCGCAGAGTCAAGGAGGCCATTTATGTAAAAAGGGAAAGACCATCTCTGAATCGAGGAGGCGGCCTAACGGTACATCTTTCGCCATCTTACAATGCTGTGATTGTACCCATTCCCCAACTGTCTGTGAATGGTACTCATGGCCATTGATTAGTGGTCTTTGACCAGTGGTTGTTGATCAATGGTCATGAGAATTTGCATACTAATGATCAAGGATCAACCTCCCAGCCCTTTGTTCATTCAGTGGTTCTAGTTTCCGTGCAAATGTACCGTTTATAAGATTGGGGAAACCTGCAGTCAGCTGAGATTGAAGAAGTCACTTGGATGAGTGACGAAACGTTTCTCCCAGTGAAAATGTTACGTCCAGATGAACAGAATCAACTTTTTGGGGTATGACAGTTCCAGCAGATTTATTATTCATTTTTAGGTGATCTGGTGTGTCATTGATTCCATTAATATAAAGACCATCTGCTTCCATTCATGTTGGAGACAGCGTCAAACCAAAGAGAGGCATTTTGATGGCAGCACTGTCATGGGTCTGGGTCTGATGATCCAGGGCTCTTGTGTTTTGGACTTGTTGATATTTCTGGGTTTGGAGTTTATCCTGGGCTGGCGGTCCTCATGATGCGCCCTGCCTGTGTGTCTGTGTAGGCATACTCTGCTGTTGTAGGTTTTTTCTCGGCTTCTCAAGGTCCCTTGTTTCCCTGTTTATGTCTCGATGTGTGTGTGTATGTGTCTGTGTGTATCAGGAAGGCTGGTTTTTAAGCGTCATTAGGACAAGGAGAAGCCAGACACACCTGTTGCTCATCAAATGTCGCCAGCTCTACTGGCTGAGCTTCAGTTGGTGCTGGATCGTTGAGTTCATGATGGGTTTGTTAGTGAGTACTTTGTGTGTGTTGCTTGCCGGTTTAAATGATGTGTTTTCTCACTTGTATTGGGAACAGAGTTTGTCATGGGAGCGAAGCCACTGTACAGAGTTGGAGTTGGGGTTGTCACGATTCACGCCACAGACATGAGCACTGTGTGGGATTCAGGGAGAAACAAAGTAAAAACTATGTTCTGACCTCTCACCTGTATAAGCAGCACTGACCTCTGACATGGAGCTGCACATTTTTCCTTGTCAGTATGTTTCCTTTCCTGCTGTAGATGGTACAGGTGTAGGTGAAGTTGTCGTCATCCGTTGGATATGTCAGGGTCAGACTGAGGTCTCCAGGTTTCAGCAGAGATGTCCTTTTCATCTCTGTTCGGTTTCTGTAAAACCGGTGCTGTTTTTCAGGCTGGTCAGAGCCGTTCTGATACACGTGGACCTTCCTGTTGTTTCTGTCCCTCCACTCCACTTTAGTGTGTTTTAGGAATTTAAATATAGTTTTGCAGGGCAGCTTGACAGACGCCACCCCTGAATCCACCTCCACTTGGTAATCTGAGAGGACAACAAAGCACAACACGATGTCATCAGCAGCAGCTGTGATGGTCACATGAACTCCCTGTCCCCTTCCCCTCGTTCTTTGGTAACTAGTGCTGCAGACATCTTAGATGAAGAACAGAAGAACAGACAGACTGAGCCTCCACAGTGAGCCATGTCTCACACACATCAACACAGAAACCATGAAGATCTCATGTGTCTGCTCTGAACACAGTCAAGAGGCCACCAGAGGACACCTGTTGACCCTTCAAACCCAGTCGGAGCGGGCACGTAACTATTTTTAAATCCCTGTAGAACCAGAACCACGTAAGCTAGCACAATAATTTTTTTGAACATGAAACCAGAGGAATTGTACTTGCATCTTATGCCATCAGCTTGTCCTAGGTCACAGTTTCCTTCCACATATAGCTTTGCAAAAACAGCATAAAAAGCGCTTGCAGCAACAAAAACATATTCCAGAAACATGCTTTGCCGATCCGATCAGCTGTTTGTAACACTTGCTACATTGGAATAAAAGTCAGCGAGAACTATTGCATGTCTGCCATTACCTGCCCGAAACCGGAAGTGATGTTATTTTTGCAGAAAATGTAGGGTTTTTTGTTTTTTTTACCTTCGCTGTCTTATAAGCCTACTGGTGTTTTTGAAGGTCATGTTTTACTTTATGCTTTTATGAATAGTTTCTGGGATGCTTATTTTGATGCACATGCTGTTGTTTTCCTAAATTTGCATTATAATATTTATTTTCGTTTTTCCTGTAGTGTATAAAAATTGGTGTATCTCAAACATAAAATTATGAATACACTCAAAATAAATTTCCTGTGGTGGGAAACTATTTTGTGCTACTTTTTTGTATTTACAGTTTTGAGGGATAAGCCTCTGAAATTCCTCTAACTAGAAATATATGTAAGAAAAAAAGATTTAAATTTTTTTGTTTTTTTTAGAATTTATGTAGTTATTATAGACTTAATGCATACATATTATTAAAATTTGGGCTATAATGGTTGTATTGATGTATAGCAACTTGAAATGCTCCCAACAATGGCACTACAGCATGTAAAAATATAAAGATCACTATGGCGGACTTGGTTCTATGGTAGGTCTTAAACTGGTATTATGGGTAGTGTAGTAGGAAAGACTCTTACCTGACATGTAATAGTGACGTAAATAATATAAAAGACCTCCAAAAATCACAAAGACAAACAGGAGAACCAGAAGATCTTTGACCCAGGATGGAAATGGTTCTGTGGGGAAACATAAAAAAATGACTTCTAATCTCTAAGCTGTGTCTACAATATTGACCTCTGACCTTTATCTCCAGCACTGACTTTTGACCTGCAACATGACTTTTTGTCTCAGGATGTCTTTGTCCCTGTAGATGGTGCAGATGTATCGTCCTGTGTCTTTCACTTTGGGCTGTTTCAGGGTCAGACTGAGGTCTCCAGTTCTCAGCAGGTCTTCATTCATCTTCGTTCGGTCTCTGTAAACTTCATCCTGAGTCATGAGCTCATCATTTCTGTTAGAATACTCATGGACTGTGATGAGTCCGAGGTCAGAGCGAGTCCACTCCACTGTGGTGTCCTCAGGCAGGTCGGCTTTTGTTTTGCACGGCAGGATGACAGACCCTGTTCCTTCCCTCACCTTCACCTCCACCTGCTGGTCTGAGAGGACAAGAAACCAAAACATAAACTGTAGAAGCAGCAGAAAAATACCGCTAAAAGTTTTGTGTTGGGCCATGCATAAAATTTTAATGCATGTATGATATATGTACAGACGTGAGTGTGCTGAACCTCTCTGAGCTAAACACAAACACATCTGCACACAAGCAGTAGCACTTACATGAAACAGAGCTCATGTCTTTCAGAAGTTATAGAACTAAGAACCCATTTTATCTGCTTTGTTTCTCATGTTTTGCTGTTTGTGCTTGTTTCATCAAGACCTTCAGAATCGTTTGAGAAATACTTTGCGTTCGTTTAATCTTTAACCTTTCCCTGCAGTACTGACTTATGACCTGTAATTACAGCAGGTGTTGGGTTTGTTACTGACCTTTGACCTGTAGCTGGGTGTCTCTGAGTCTCCGTTCTTTTCCTCCAGCACTGATGGAGCAGGTGTAGTTGCCGCTGTCAGTCTTTGTGGGTTTCCTTAGAGTGAGGCTGAAGTCTTTTATTATGAAAGCGTAACGATTCATTGATGTGCGTCTGCTGTAACGCTGGTTTTGTCCTGTAGGATCATCTCCTTCTTCTCGTCGTTGGTGTACAGATTTGGGATCGAGGTCACTGCGAGTCCACATCACTGTGGGATTGTCCTCAAGTATAGAATCTGAGTATAGACAGGGCAGCAGGACAGACCTTTCCCCCTCATTCACCTCCACCACCACCACAGCCAGAGCATGCTGGGAAACTGGAAGGACAGAAACACAAACACAAATCAAGTTCCTGTTGTAGGTTTGACCCAGAGTTAAAAAAAAATAACCAAGTTTAACTTCATGCATTCTCTGATCCTTGTCCAGAGCCTATTCCAGCTACTATAGGGCAGCGGTCCCCAACCCCTGGGCCTCGGACCGGTATCGGTCCGTGAGTCGTTTGGTACCGATGTATTGTTTTCAGGGTTTTTATTGGTTTTCAGCATTATTTTGTTATTGTTTTGATCGTTAACTCGGTTTTCCTGGGTCTTTTCACGTGTGTTATAAATAAATCTTCTTTTTTTCGGTACCGGTACTAGTTTTATTTTGTTGTATGAGGCTGAACATTTTAGCACTTTTATCTCTTGTTTAAGCTTTCAAAGTTCAAACCTTTGTAGAAAACTGAGTAGAGTATTATAGAATGAAACCTAAGGCGCCCTTAGGTGCCTTTGGCGGTATAAAACATTTCGCTGGACGCATTCTGTACTGTACAGGAGACACAGAACGAGATTGATTGACAATGGTCTACAGCCATTCAGGACACAGACACAATGGGCTGTAAAAAAAAAAAAACATATGAAAAATTGCACAAAAACAATCAGCGAAACAGCGAGGCCACAAAAGGTGAACCATGTTATAGCGAGGGACCACTGTATTAGAATCAATAAGGCACTGATAAGAATCATCTGGAGCAGACGTAGAATTAACACTTTATTACAGTCTCTGTGCACATGGGCAGCTGGAGACCTGATGGTTCAAGTGTGGATCCTGTTATACTTCTAAAATTTGAGATGTAAATTCTCTGGACATCCGTGTGTTCACCATGTGATGAAGAGATTTATATGAGGTCCGAGTGGACCTGAGAGGCAGGTATGTATACGCAGATATAGACATGAACAATCACACATGCGTACCAGCATATCTGTATGTGGTGATGTAATCCTTTAATTCAGAATCCATGATTACAAAAGAGAAGGAGAGGTTCTGATGGGATTCTTGAAAATATAGAGAGTGAAAACGAAGGGAGCGAAAGAAGAAAAATGCTGTCATGGTCCTGGGTCGTTGACCCAGCGTTTTGTGTTTTGTGATTATTTTCCTCTGTTCTAGTTATTCTGTGTCCTCCCCCCTTGTGTCCGGTTCGGGTTCTAGATTTCCTGTTTTGTTCTGAAGGTCTCTGTCTGTTGTCATTGTGTTCAGCTTGTCTCCTCCGCTCATCATGTGTATTGGGTTCAGCTGTTCTTCCCTCCTGTGTGTGATTACCCGATTACCTTGTGTGTGTATATTTAGTGGGTGTCGTCTGTGTTCGTTGTCGGCTCGTCTGCGTTCTATGGTGTTTCGTTCCTGTCTCTGCGTCTCACCCCTTTTGTATGCTCTCAGGTTTGTCATTTAGTTCTCCCAGTTTAGGTTTCTTCAGTTGTTTTCTCATGCTTCGTTGTCTGTTTCTGCCACTGTCACCTGTAAATAAACCCTCACTCATATCATCAGTCGGCTGCCTGCATTTTGGGTCCTCCTTTTCCTCCAACACCACACGGCTCACCCCGCCAGCCGTGACAAATGCCTACAGAAGTCTTATGGGTAGCTAGAGGTGGTAAACTGATTTTGGTTTGGTTTAGGTAGCCTAACCTGGTGACTACTCTCGATTTTTATCTTTCGTATTTTTTCTTGAACCACTGAGCCCTGAGTTGTTCCGAGCCCTTATTGGAGGAGACCAGTCCAGAGCATGACTGCCATGAAAAAAAAACAGCCCCCTGCCTGGACCCTGGGGAAGGGGCTTCTTTTTATGACTTCCAACAAGATTAGTATGAATTTAGTGTTGAAAGCAGAGCTTATTGATGTGAGAATCTCTTGGAATTGACCACTCACACGACTGAGATAATCAAAATTACTACTTGGAGCTAAAAACAAATAAAATAAATAAATAAAAAATAATAATAATATTTTTCCTACCCGTCTCACTCTCTTTGTTTGCATCTTCTATTCATTATTTTGTAGTATGTGTGTATACATATATATATATATATATATATATATCTATATCTATATATATATATATATATATATATCTATATATCTATATAACTACCAACCACCTCAGTAGCACATGGAAACTCCTGTCCGGCATCATAGCGGATAAGACGAACAGGTGCACAGGTTGGTCAGCCTGGTCTTGCAGTCTTGGCTGACTGCTCGGTCTACCAGTAGCTGGTGTTTTGCGCCTCTGGTATTCTTACCAATTCCTTTCTGTGTGACACTCATAAATTGAGTCGTGTGCCGCCTGGATTGACGGACCCTAAAAGCCTTCATCAGGAACTCAATGGGGATGTGGCGCACAACACATAGCACAAGTCACCATCAAGTGAGGGATCTACCGAGAAGATGCTCTGTCCCCACTGCTATTCTGCAAAGGCCTGAACCCCCTCAATGGGATCATTGACATGACTGGCTGTAGAGTATGTTTAGTCTTCCGTTTGTTCAGCTATCTGTGTTTGTTTTACGTTTCAGATATAATGTGTGCAGTCAGACATCGTGGCAGACTGACAAAGATGACTTCTTAGATAAGGGGAGACCATTGTGTGTCCTCATAGTTTTACACCTGTTGGTCAACTTTCTGTCAGCCTCACCTAGAACCTTCAAATCCCTGTAGTTTTGTCAGCTGATCACGCCCTGTCCTGTGATTGGCTGAGCTTCAGGCCTTTTCTATGTAGGGATTAGTTTGTAAGAAAGAGTCAGTTTGTTTTACTGATGTTTGTAGTTGTACTGCGAGTGTTGGGAGGTTCAACTACATATTTCAGCTATACTTAATACCTCTGTAACCCTTTACACATTAGCTTTACCAACTGTATCAGCCATTTCTAACCGACATACGTCTGTGTCGAAAAGTTTAAACATATGCAGCATAAAGTGTTTTTGTGTATTAGAAACAAAAAGGCTCTGATAAGCAATTTTGGGCAAGTTATTTAAAAAAAAAACAATTTGTGAAGTTACTTCTTCAAAAAAGTAACTGAGCTAGTAACTGAGTAACAATATTATAAAAAATAAAGTAATAAATAAATATTAGGAAAAGTAACTATTGTGTTACTTTAAAATAATGTTTAATCCTATGGCGTATAGGGCATAATTTGCCGTTTTTGACTACTTTTGATTTTACCTCTACATTTCATCTTTTAAAACTTGAAAAACTTAAAAACTCTTACCTTGTTTGGTATCATTCTTATCAGCACAACCTTTATGGCTCAGACACGCAGCTCTCGCTCTCACTCATCTGTACTGAGTTTCAGAAGCAGGGGCGATTCTAGGATCAGAGCTTTGGGGGTGCTGAGCACCCAGAGAGCTGCCCAGCCAGGCAAGTAGGGCTGCACGATTTTGCATAAAATGAGAATCACGATTTTTTGGCTTAGAATTGAGATCACGATTCTCTCACGATTTTCTTTTCCAGTATAAATATTTATTGCACTTATTAACTGCACATCAACTTCGTAACAGTTGAGACTGAACATAAAAACAATAAATAAACATAAAAACAACAAATGTCTCACGTTTTGTTGTTGCCGCAAAATGTTGTACTGCTTGAAATTCCGTCTCCACCGTTGCTCGACGCTGCGTGTATAGAGCAGGTAGTGCAACAATAGAAAAATAGTTGCGGGACGGCACTGTGTAGCGTTTGTCTAGGGTGTTGATCATTTTCCTAAATCCCTCGTTTTGCACAGTGTTGATGGGAGCCATATCTTTGGTCAGGTGATAAGTGATAGCCTCCGTAATTTCTTTGTGCCTGCGGGAGTTCGACGTGTATAGGGAAGCGCTGTATAAGGTTCCCGTTATTGATGTTTGGGTGGTTGACCGGGACGGATTTTCTCCTGTCACTTTCTCGTCATCCCTGATGTGCTCTCCGTTGTTTTTTCCCTGCTAATTTTAGCATCACATGGCACAGCTTCTGTATCACGTGGTATAAGGCTCCGCCCTTGTCATTTGTTGAGCAGGAAGAGTGAGCGCTTGTTTTCATGCAGATTACGTCCTGGATCAAAATGCGGTAGGGAGACCGGGGATAGTTGTAACGTGGGTCAGTTGTAACACTTCCAATTTCTCCAATCAGGGCTAAGTTTCAAATGATGTGACTCATCCTGTGCATGCCCAATTCAGTTCTGCTATCACATGTGAAAAATCAGCACATTTTGTCAAACACAGACAATTTAACACGAAAAAAAGTAATTTGTATGCCAAAAAGTAAGTTTTTCTACTTTATTTCAATTTCTAATAGCATTATCTGCTTTGCAGTTAAACTCATCAAACTTAAATTATGTTATTTGTATGTCTATGGGGATATATTCTGTGTAGGTCTTTAGTGCTAATGTTTTAGCCGTTGGCTGTAATGTTAGCTAGTTCATGGCTATAGGAGTCTGGGTCAGTTGTAACAGCAACAGTCTGGGTTAGTTGTAACAATAATGCAGATGTTACAACTTACCACACTATTACTTTAACTTATATTAAACAAGTTGGGGCAACGACATCAGCAGAGAGAGGTTCACTGGTCGCTTTTGTATATGCGGTTAATGCCATTGGCAACACAATTCCTCCACTGTTTGTGTTCCCACACATACATTATGCAGACCACTGTGTCAGAGATGGACCAGTAGGAAGTACTGGTAGTGGAAATAAATCAGGATGGGTGCAAGAAACAGATTTCCTCATCTTTCTGAAGCACTTTGCAAACCACACCAAGGTAAGCCATGATAAAAAGTAATGGAATTGCGATGCTGGTGAACAACTACATTTTTTCAGCTTCATTGTTATGTTCAAAATTGGTGCAAGAGTTGTAGGTTATAATGCCCACTGAGCCAATGAGGCCAAACTCAAGGAAGACCAACCAAAATTAATGAAATATTCAGTTGCAGAAAATTCCATAATTTGTCTTTTTTGGGGGGTTGGAATATGTTCAAAAGCTAGATTTCTGCATTCTGTCACACACACACACACACACACACACACACACACACACACACACACACACACACACACACAC